GGTTGTTAACTGTAATTATTGTGTGTGTATGTGTGCGTGAGTGTTTGTTTTATTTAAACCAAAGTATATTCTGCAGTTAGAAGCTGAATTTCGGAAGTTTATCCCAACTTATCAGTGATCTGTTTTCGTATTAAGCAACCTGTTCAGTTCATAAGTTAAGATATCGATAACAGTCATTTCGGATGACATTTTGAACCAGGATTTCGTGCCTATTGAAACTCTGGAGCAAGGTATAAATAATCTGAATAGCTTCAAGAGACATACATGTTACCGTAGAAGTTCATGATTGTTGCATCTCAATGCAAAAGTCAGTCACTTTGCCGTTAAGATATTTATTCAAAGGATGAATGAATGAATGACTGGACAACTGACTGATGAACACAAATCAGTCGAATAATAGTTTGTAATTTAATTGAGCAAAGAATATTCTTTTCGATAATTTCCTTTTCTGATTCTACAGTTATATATATGCTTATATACATAGAATATTCTAGCTTAGTAGTCAATAACAATATTAGTGTCTTCTAAATAATATCGATTTGTAAAGTAAGATCAATAGAATTACCACAGTTCATTAAGGATGCTTAAACTATAATAATAATAATAATAATAATAAAGATATAATAGCAACTAGAATATCAACTGAAATTAGGAAAATTTCACAAAAATTCTGGATCATTCAAACCTAGTTGCATAGGCTCCTACAATTAGGTGTGTTTCTCGTCGGATTTCCGTACACCGCCTTGCGTGGTTAAGTAAAGGACAAACAAAATCTATTCGTAGCGCTATTCTATCTCATCTTGTGGATACAGAACACAAGACTGATTAATGTTAACCAAGCTTTCAGAGTCATTTACCGCACATCAACAAACCTCAATTTCGCCATAAGAGTTCGACTACTAAATATTGTTGAGACTGGCTGATGGGATCCATATTAACAAGCCTGATTTGTGCATCCAAAAGAAGTTAGTTCAGACATTATCCTTACCTTGGCCATCTAGGTTTGAATGATCCTGAATTTTTGTGGAATTTTCCTAATTTTAGTTGATATTCTATTTGCTATAATATCTTTATTATTGTTATTATTATAATTTAAGCATCTTTAATGAATTGTGGTAATTCCATTGATCTTACTTTACAAATCGATAGTATTAAAAAGATACCAATATTGTTATTGACTACTATTCTAGAATATTCTATGCATATCAATATATATATATATATCGAGAGAGAGAGAGAGAGAGACAGAAGAGGAATTTATCGAAAAGGATATTCTTTGCTCAATTATTTTGTGTTTTATAGATGTCTGAATGAATATTTTCGCTATATAATTTAGTTGTTTATTTGTCTGATGATGGAGTTAGGCGTGAATGTACGGGTGCCCTTGACTAATTATAAATTCACTTCTAAGTTTAAAAAGTTAACAGTTAGCCTTTAGAAGCATTGAGAAACCCAAAGGCTATTTCAATGGAGATTTAGTTCAATTAACCTTAGATGTTTACACCAATTGTCATCAGGAGACTTGTTCTTGTAAAGATTGATTTTTAAGAGTTATTTTGTAGGGATTTGGTCTGCTTTAAGGTTAATCATGAGCTGTCACCAGTCAAAGAGAACTATTTTGTTTTAGTTTTTAAGACTCTTCATCAGCATACCCCCACCGGGATTTGAACCCAAGACCTTCCGGTTACAAGGTGATGAGCTCCGTGTAGATCATTCAGTCACTGAGACCCCGATCCAATGGCCCATGAATTCCAACTTCTGCCAGTTCGCGATTTTAGCGCAAACACTAGTCAGTATCATTGGCGAGTATTGATTTATTATCCTCTGTCTTGTTTTCTCTCCCTTGTTTATTTATTTTATTATTTTGTTTATTTTTGCCGTTTTGTGTTTCCTGTTATTTGAAACCAAGTATTCTATTCCGAGTATTTCGTCTTGGTTACGGACACTTTTAAATTCTTTTCTTTGAGTTTAATTCACCCACTGGTGTATAGTCTTTCACCAAATTCCTATTTTTGGTTTGTAAATTTAAACTCTCGATACAGTTTTATTTCATATTGATATTTCCCTTAAATTCTAGATATATTTATAACTCGTTATTATCTTTACTATGGCAACTCCATTAAATGTATCAATATGTACTTTTATGGATGTTGTCATTTCGTTTTAATTACATTATCACTTCTTTATCGATCGTACACGACGCTTATTGAACTTGAACTTAACAGTTAATATATTGTCAACATATCCATGTTGTTTATTCGAATCGATATAAATGTTCATTTAATTTCACTTGTTAGATTTCGTCACGAACTAGCACCAGTTAGAGATAGGGTACTGGACTGCTGTTTCGTCCTATTTTATGACTCTTCAATGATCCGTACCCAGGGTTCAAAGGTGGTAACGTTCAGGTTATGAGATCAAGCTCGTTGACCATTCAGCCAATTCAGCCGGAATTCAATGATTCCATAATCTAAATATCAATCTCCAGGTCACTGATGGCTACTTGGCTGATTTCCTGAATCTGTACTGGAGTCCAGCATGACAAGGCGGAGTGGATGCTCATCGTAGGCATTGGTTGAGGGTAGCGCTGTATCACGAGTTGGAAGAATTAGAATTCACGGGTCTTTGAATTCCATCCAAAGTGGCTGAATGCTTAACGATACTAGCTTCAATCCCTGGTGGGGTCGCGTGTTCGTACTAATGAAGAGTCCCAAACTAGGACGAAACGGTAGTCCAGTACTCCCTGGTTTTCAGAGATCCCCGAATTCCCTACAAATGTCATAATCTAAATAAATAGTCATGTTTACTATTGATATATAATTGTCTTCTTTGAGCTGTATGGTTTTATTGTTAAGCTACGTATGCTACGTATGCCTAATCATCGCCTTCCTTGACAACAGGCAATGTTAGCTGATATAGGGCCAGACTGGAAAAGAGCTAGCGGCGGTCAAACCAAAACATGGCACCAGTCAATGAAATCCACAACAGTTAGTCTAAGCCACGTAGGAAGGTGTAGACTTCCTGGTTGGGGTCCTCGGGACGGTAGAAACCAATGGTTGGAAACAATTGGTGACATGGCTTAAAATCGTTCTCAGTGGCGCAGATGCATCCACTCCTTGTGATTTATTATTTCCAATGAAACTATTCTGTTTTGTTCTTCGTTATTACTATTCCTTTGTCTCATACCTCTGTTTACTGTCTCTAATATGCATTTCTGTTACTTTCTTCTCTTGCTTTGTGTGCTACATGGAGTGGAGTGTGGCGATTTGAACTGCCGCACACATGTGCAAAGTTCTATGTGGAAAACCGACCGACCGATTGCGAAGCATTCGTTGTCTTCCTAGATAACATACTCAGCTCTGATTTTAAACAAGAACTGAGCTTTCAGGATTCTTAGTGAGTACATTAAACGTCCTCTCTGATCACTATGAATGGAATTAGTTGTCTCCAGGGATTTCCTCTTAGCTCTATCATATAACCGAGCTACAAATCCCCTCCATCCTTTTTAAATCATGTTTGTGGAATAATCAGCTGATGAGTCCTACCAAAGTATATAATTCTCTTCATATACTAACCTTTTTCCCCAAAAACTGTTACATTATCAAACTTTTGATAAGATCATATCACTATGACGATACTAGTTGTTATTTGAAGTAACAATGTCAATTTATCATACTTAGAGACGGATACAACAATTCAAAACTGACGGTAATCATGAAAATTCCAATGTAGACTTCGTAACAAACTGACGTCAGTTAGAGAATCATTTAAAACCAAGGTTCCTCACGATGTCTACACCGAAATTAATCAAATCATTATCAGTCGGAAAACCATTGAAATAGCTATAATGTATGAATATGGTAGAAGGTTATTGATGCTTATAAAAACTACTTCATTAGATTGTATTATTATTTCCCTTAGGTTCCTAATGGAACATAGGGCTTCAACAAAACATCTCCATTTCATCCTGTTTTTTGCGGTTGTCTTTAGCGTGCTCCACAGTTGTCCGTAGGCTCTCGTCTCTTCTTCACACAATGTTCTCTATGTAACCCTCACACCCATGCCTAACTCGTCATTTCCCATTCGAGTTCCACACGTGCGCTGGGCTGGAGCGTGATGTCACTCAAAGCTTTCCTCCTCCGTTTTCTCCGACATATTTGTTGGGTAATAGGTTGTTGGTTGGTTCGTTGCAAGAGTTCCTTATTTCTAACCCTTTTTTGTCTATCTCATGTCCAGTGTGGAACAAAGGCAGGTGTTGATGGAAGCCTTCAGCAACATGTTGGGAATGCTTCCGGTGACGCACATTCCAAGTCTCTATACCATTTAAAATTATTGTCTTGACATTGATGTCGGAAATCCGAATCTTGTTTTTTTATGCTTAGTGCAGTAGATTCCCAGATGAAGGCCAGTCTTGCCTTTCCAATCTGGGATTTGATATCTTCATCCGTCCTTAGTGTCTGTAGTTGAAACGATTTTGCCTTGCCAGATAAGTGAAAAGATGACTTCCTTGAAATATCTCCCGTTGACGGTGTCCGACGATGCAGAAACCCACAAACATCGGTGGTGGTAACTGTCTGAGATAGTCTTTCTTTGTAATGGGTGTTAGGGATTGTATGTGAAATAGGACTCGAACCAACGGCCTGGATATTACTAGTCTGGCGCTCTATCAGCTGACCTACGAGACTTGTGATGACTGCCGTTAGTTCTCCTAGATCACATTTGGTAGGAGAGCGTCGAACTAGTAAGTTCGAGGTCAATTGTTCGAATCCTGCCTCTGCAACCCAAATTTCCATTTCACCTTTATTCCGTAACCACCCATTACACATCACTAACAGTCTGCCAAACCACCAAGAATAAATATCTCACACAGAGTCTCACCATCAATTTGGCTAGAATGCTTTTATATGTTAAACTCAATTTGAACAAAAAAACAATGCGTATATACGTAATATTAATGAAAAGCTTATTCTCTCTCCTTTTTTTCTCATCTAACTTTTCAGACTCTATTAGACAATGGTGAAGTAAACATAGACGAATTAGATAGCAGTAATAATAGTAATTCACTGAAACGCATTAAACGTAATGTCGGCAACTCAGATTGGTTAGACAACACAGATAATGAGGCGGCAACAAGTCCAGTTAGCCGAGGTCAATCAGATCTTGGCACTGCTGCTAATACAGATGCTCAACGATTAGCTTTAATGATACAAAATCAATTGGATGCAATTAACAAAGAGATTAAAATGATACAGGTAGGGCGTTGTTTTTTTGTTGTGTTTGTTCGTTTGTTTTGTTTGTTTTGTTTTTTGTTTTTATTTATTGATGTTTGTCTGAAACGAAAAATATATATATATAATATTATTATTATTATGAATACTGATGATGATTATACTTTCGTATCTTATCTTAAAATTATATCATTATTGCTGACTGTCGGCATACCCTTCATCTGCTCTCCACCTTGTGTCCTGCGATAGTCTGTTACGATTGGCTTATTCGTTTCCCTCCCGATTTGGACAGTTATAAAGGCGATGGATGCTAGGTCCTATGTTATTTAGACCATGCTGTCATGTGAGAGAGGCATAGTACTTAGTTAACCATTTTGCTTCAGATGTCATGTTATAATTGCTTGGAAATGCTTCTTTCTCTTTTCGGTAAGAATATCCATAGCAAGGTTTATATAATGGTGATGATTTGTAACTCAGGTGGATGATTTTGATATGGCTGTGGTGTCTGAGACGAAATACTTTAATTGCCAAGCTTTCATTGTCTTTACAGACAAAGTCTTTAGCTCTAACTTTAAAATAAGCTGAGCTGAAGATGCTATCTGGAAGGACAACGAAAGCTTTGCAGTTAAATCATCCAGCTCAGAGACCATAACTATATCAGAAAGTACATATACATATATATATATATGATAATGTGAAATATTCTCATATCATGAATTAAAAGTCAATCTGAACGAAGAATATTCTTTTCAATAATTTCTCTTCAGGTTCTTACAATTATAAAATAAAATATCTGTTGTCATTACTATAATGTCCAGTTATGTGGTGGATACATTTTTTATTATTAGTGATATTATCTCTTTTCTCAATATATGCCTCTACCTGTTTCATTTCACACATTCGTTATTTCATTATGAACCTCTCATTGCAGTCTTACTATTTCCTGTTTATTACAGACCACTTTGTACTAGCCACTCACCTGACACTTTTTATAACCTTGAACTGACTTGTCAATTTTCCTAACCCACACTGTACGAATCTATTATGACTCATCACCACCACCGTTGTCTCCCATTTTACAATATTTTGTAATCGATTTCGGCCTAGCACGTTTGTCACACAAATACGACTATTCCGGAGAGGGAGCCTGGGAAATGGCTACCACATCCAAGGACGGCAGCAGGCGCAAAAATTACCCACTCCCGGCACGGGGAGGTAGTGACGAAAAATACGAATACGGGACTCAATAGAGGCTCCATAATTCGGATGAGTACAATTTAAATCCTTTAACGAGGACCAATTGGAGGGCAAGTCTGGTGCCAGCAGCCGCGGTAACTCCAGCCCCAAAAGCGTATATTAAAGTTTCTGCAGTTAAAAAGCTCGTAGTTGAACCTGGGTTGTGCGGCCGCATGCCGTTGCATGTTCGAGGTTTTGGTTACGATCAGAACTTGTGTTCGGCTTGGTGTAGTGGCTTTGCAGCCTTTCAGCCGTATCTGTGTAAACGGGTGCTGACGGAGACTATTAAATGTATCCGCCGCATAACTGGCCATTATTGTAACGACAGTAAATATTATATTTTAAATTGTAAGGACCTGAAGAGAAATTATTGAAAAGAATATTCTTCGTTCAGATTGACTTTTAATATATATATATATATATATATTTGGAGTCTAAGCGAGATACCTTGTATCAACAGAGTCGTCGATAGTTATTAGTTGGAGGTATTATTTTCCATTTTTCAGATAATTGATTTTATTGGATCAGATTGCTTGATCTGTTGTGTGACCCTGTGGCTTGATTGGTAACTCTTTCGAAGTTAAATAATGGGTTCTGGGTTCGAGTCTTAGTCGGAAGGACATCAGTCACTGGGGATACAGATAAATCCAGCTGATGAATTCGAGAATTAGAATGAGTCGCGTTTTCTGGATTCCACTGGTAGCCACTAAAAGCCAGGTGACATCAGAGTCATTAGTGTTTCACTGGAGGTTAACTGAGTTTGAGAATTGGCAATGGGTTATATTCACCTTCTTGAAAGGGTATTAGACAATGTTGAGGTCGAAAGTGTTCCGTGAATAAAGACCGAAAAAATTCAAATTCGTCATTTACAAATTGTACAGTTTTGTGGCGATAATCGACAAAGACTTTCTAATGTATTGAAATCATAATATGTGATATGATTGATGGCTTGAGTAGTTCCTGAGTACCCATATCAGTCAGTGGTATATACTATCATGCTATTTTGCATGTTTTATTGCAGATGGTATATTGTAATTTGAATATTTTTAGTTTACAAAGAAAACTGTGGTGATTTTGGCCACTGCTTCGCCCAAGTAGACAGTCAGAACATCGGTGGTTCGCACTGTTTCAGCGATCTGAGTTGAACCAGTCCGGGTAAGTCTTTGGTAGACTCGGCTTCAGATAAGTAAAGTGTTTAGATCTGGTCAAGAAGCTTTATTATTTAATAGATGGACTGATTTATCTATTTGTGGTAGCCTTCACACTAATGTACACTCGTGTACTCTGTTCTGAGCAAGTCAGCCGTTATCAAGTCGGAAAAGCAGTCCGTCAAAATGAATTCACTTTTCGAGTATAGTAATATGAACTGCTTGTTTTCTACCCTTATCCTTCGGAGAATTTTCATGATTTGTTCTATTGCATATTATATATAGGAAGAGAAACAAACTGCTGAACAGTTAGCTGAAGAACTAGAACTCCGCGTTGGTACAAATCGTAATGGAAGTTCTGATGGCCAGTTGATGGAAGAATATTATCAACACCAGCATCAACAACAACAACAACTACAACAACAACAACGAGGTGGTATTGGTGGTGTTAACGACCCTAGTGGAGCGTACTACTACATGAATCAAGATACACGTCTCCATTCGAATAATGTTATGCCTAGCCTGCTACCGAATTTTGGTCCAACTGGTTGGTCTCCGCCTCCATCACCGTTAAGCTCGCGGTCGACACCATTTGGTGGGATATCAAATGATTCATTCAGTGGTAGTTTCAGTAATCCTGCGCGTAATACATCCTCTTTGCCTGGTAAAGAGACAGAGCGATCGCTGCCTCAATATCTGCCTTCATTAGATCCTTCACGTAATATTCAACACCAAACACCACTGGGACAGCAGTATTCACAGTCAACTACTGGTGCTAACTTTATGTCACGTAGTAGTCAATTTGAACAACAACGATCGATGTCAGCTGCTGGACGTCCATTGCATCAGGTAAATAAGTGGTCAAGATTACCGTACTATAAAATATCATGTCCCTTATTCTTCATATATTTCATTGAGTGAATTCTAAGTAAGCATTAATTCATCTATTATTTCGTTAACCAGTAGAATTCTGAAAACTTCTAGCAATCAAAATAGCCTTGATGTAGTTAATTTTATGAAGCCTTGATTTATACGGTGAAATTCAATCATTAAATCAGTAACCTGCTTTCGTATGATACTAGGGAAATGAAGTTCTAATAGAATTCGTCCACCATATGTATTCTCTACTCTTTCAATTCATTCAGCCTTAGTCCATCTGAGATTTCGCTTTTCTTTTCTTGAAAAGAAAATGATTTTCTTGTTAGGTGGTTGGAGACAATCGGAAGGAAACCTTGGATCTAGGTTTTATGTTCGTTTGCATTTGTCAGCATGGCTCACTTGCAATATGAACACCACTAATGTCTAGAGATATATGACACTAACTAATCCTTGCTAACCTTAATGTAATAACCAGCAGGTACTTTAGATTGATAAGACTGACTTATATCGGTTTAGTAGTAAAAATACTACGAAAAACCGTATTATGACAGGAATTTATTTGCTTCAAGTTTGGTCACAGATTGGTATTAGTTCGAGAGTACTGTTGAAAATCAGGAAATACCGAACAGCCGTTTCGTCTTCCTAGTTTAGGACTCATCAACAGTACCCACCCACTGGGGTTCGAACCCAGGACCTTCTGGTTACAAATCAATTTCATAGACCATCCAGCCATTGAGGCCCGACTCAATGACCCATCAATTCTAACTTCAACGAATTCGTGAGTTTAACGCGACTACCAGCCAATGTCATACATGGCGGGTGCTTGTCTTCACTACCGATCGGATAGAGCCCAGTGGTGACAACTTTTCACTAGAGATCGAGTAGAACTTCATCCTGTATCCAGTGACTAGCAAGCATAGATTATTTTCAAGAGTTACTTTGTAGAGATTTAATGTGTTCCACGTTTGACCGCGGAATTTATTTCATACAAAGGAATTATTATTATTAGTCATTATTTGAATTCTGCACGTGTTCACTCTACTGAGTCCTTTGGTATCATTTCTTCATGACTCCCCATAACCTTGCATTTCCTCGTCACATGCTCTCCTCCTTGTCACCCCTAGACACACGTATACTCATTTCTCCCCACTTCACGCTCCACTTGGGGACCCGGCGTGTGATTCCGCTCGAAGGCCTCCTCAGGTTATGTCCAATCCATCTCCACTTCCTTCTGCATATTTGTTAAGCTATAAATTGTGGGCTGGTGACAAGCCAAGTTTCTAAACTATATTGAAGCAGTGACTTGATGTGAGTGTTAAAAGTTCTAATCTTGTTCTCTCCGCTGAGTGCTGCGTATCTCCACAAGGATTTCAGAGTAACGAGAATCATCTGTCTGGCTTTGATATACTCGCCTAATTTACTCCCTGGTTGTGAGTCCAGAAAATGAAGGAAGATTAGACACGAGAAGCTAGTAACTCTCACCCTCCCCAATAAGAAATCTCCCCACCACCACTCCTCATTGCTACGGAAAATCCAGAGCACACGAACACAGAAATGAACATTCTTAAAAAAATAATAAAATCTATAGTTTATTTATCTACCGGTTAATTATTCATGCAAATTTATTTTTTGTAAAAAAAAATAAGAAAAGAAGAACCCCGCCCCCTCCTGAGTTGGATTTCACTTCTTCTTTCAAAAACTGTTTTGTGTGTGTGTGTTTTATCTCAAAAACAGACAGATTTTCTTTCATCGAGTATTTTATTTGAAAAAAAATATATAGGGTGTTTCGTTTTACCAGTGTACACTGGTTGGAAAAAAGAATTTTTATCGACCAGTTGACGAGTGGCGAGAGAGAGAGCGCCAGAGAGACAAGATGACATTTTGATGTGTCTAAATATAACCAGAGAGAGAGAGAGAAATAGAAAGACCTAGAGAGCATTACGCATTACGCAAGTCTGTATTAAGTGGAAGAAATATGAAAAGTTGGCAAAGTTTTCGGCTGTATCTATGATAATATCGAATAAAATAGTGTTTTTCAGCGGCGATGAAAAAAAAAAGAAGAAAAATGCCTTTCGTTAAATGAGAAAAAACAACTGCGGAAAGAAAAGAAAATTATTGACTAGGGATTCCTAATAGTAATAATAATAGTAGTACGAATAGTGGTAGTAGCAGTAGTAGTTGGCTGGTGAAATGAAGTGTGAAATTGACGTCACTCGTGCTTGCGTGCGTGCGTGCGTGCGCCTTCGAGACGGTGAGAGAGAGAGAGAGAGATGGTAAAAGATATGATTAATTTATCATCACCTGAAAACCAGACACCAAGATCACAAGATTGCAAAATAGGTCTAAAAAACAGTAGCAGTAGAGAGAGAGAGAGAGTGCGCGTTTACGACAGAGGTGGTGACGAAGGCGAACATGTGAATTGGTGTAGTCCCTAAGTGTGTGTGTGTGTATGAGTGTGTGCGTGTGTCTGTGTCTATGGTGATGGGAGCCTATGAATCATGTAACACAACATTCTTTTACACTTTATGTGTGTGTACTCTCCTTTTGATGTTAAATGTGTTATTAGCAGGATTCAGTTGATAAGCATAACAATAAACAACAATTATCAAAGAATTGAAAACATTTATTTCTCGATACGAATTTAAAACAAGCAACAAAAGTTAATACTTGTCAAGTATTGGTTTTGTAGGGATTTTGTTTGATTGGTTAGAGGATTTCATCATGAGCTAACATCAGTTAGAGAATCATTGGAAAACCCGTAGGGAGTACTGGACAGCTGTATCGTCCTAGTCTGGGACTCTTCCGCAGTACACATCCATCGGGGTTTGGTTACAAGGCGAACTCGTAGACCAGGTCCCAGAGGCTTAATGGTCTACGAGTTCGCCTTGTAACCAGAGGGTCCTGGGCTCGTACTGTTGAAGAGTCCAAAACTAGGACGAAACAGCTGTCCAGTACTCCCTACGGGTTTTCCAATGGTTCTCTAACCGATGTCAGCTCATGACGAAATCCTCTAACTAAAAGTTAATGAAGCAGAATTAAATGAATTCATCAAATTTCGGTAGAACTCTCCAGTTGAATACCCTACATACAGGAATATATATATATATATATATATATATATATATATATATACACTGAGAGACGTAAGACTGATAAGCAAATAAACTACATTGAATCAATCATATAAAACGACAGGTGTGAATGTTTTTCTCAGTTTTTCATATTAAAATAGACAGGGGGAAGGGAGAGTATGAGGAATCAAAATTGATATAAAATGCAATACGGTTCAATTACATCACTTAAATAAACAATTAGTTATCCGAGAAAGAATAAATTCATGATTAATGATAATAACAGTCATGGTAAAAATAGTAGTAATTTTAAGACGACTTAATATAATGGTACTGATAAAAGATAGTTTTAAACGAATCAGGAATGATAATAAGGGGTAGAATAAAATATAGAATAATATACTATTAATAATAATAACAGTTAATAAGTAAAACATATTATCATGATAGATTCAGAGTGACCGCCATTTCCTGCTGTTCACAGAAACCTGATTTCTAAACTCTAATTGCACAAGCCTCCCCGAATGCTAGCATCTTCCTTTTTGTTTGTCTGCTGACAACAGTGAATGATTTGACAATGTCATTATCATGTCCATAGTCTACAAGGTGCTTCGTTATTGAACTTTTGGACACTTTGACTTCAGCCACTTTGGCAAATGCTCCATCATGCGAGTAGATAATGACCTTTCTGAACGATCTATTTAATTCAATTTTCGATTTTCCCGTCGATTGATTGGACCGAAGTGCTCGGTCTCAGGTCGACATGTCGGCTTCTTGTGCAGATGCTTCGACGATGTCTGGGCATGTAATCAGAAGTTAATTTGTGGCCCAAGTGGTCTAGTGGATAACACTTTGGCATTTGAAACTACGGGCACTGGGTTCGAGCCTCGGTGGGAACATCATCACTCACTGCGGAATGCAGGTATAGCCAGTTGACGAGTCCCAAATAGGACGAAATGCGCATCCTGGTGGATTCCACTGCTAGTCACCATCCACCAATCGATCTATGTATTTGCTTCCACAAACACACTCAAATTGATATACGCAGTTTAAAGTGTCGAGGACTGGCGACTGGATTGTTGAAGCAGCACCCAGGTGAAGCGGGTACTTACTGATGCTACAACCCTATTCGCCAGCAGTACAACTTTCCCCTCGGACTCCTTAAGATAATATGAACGATTTATGCTATGAGTATAACTTTCTAGATATCGTAAATAGCTGAACATTTTGATAAGATGACATTAAGATTTTTGCCAATTAATTTACAATATTTAAATCCAATCTTTCCTTTTAAATCCAAATTATGAAATCTATTCACAGTCTTTGTCTTTTCGAAGACATACTTACAACAAAGTGAACGATTCGAAGGAGTCGTGATGTGCTTCTTTTGTGTTTATCACCCAAAATGATCGTAGTATGTTGATCTGATGTCCTATATATCAATCAGCCAGGCACCGAGCTATAGCACTGTTAAACGAAGCTCAACTTCTTAGACATAAACTCTTCAAAAATCCTCGGTTGAGATTAAAATTACTTTATCAAACTGCTCTGATATTCGTTGAAAAATTGTTAATTGATAATTTCCCTGAACCCCTACACAATGAAACTAACCTAGTAGTCTGACTGACTGGTTGGTTTCAACATGGAACTTTGCACAGATGTGCAGCAGTCCGAGTCACCACACTTCACTTAGCACATAAAGCAAAGAGAAGAAAGTAAAAAGAGATTCAAAACAGAGACATGAGGCAAAAAGAATAGTAATATGGAAGAACAGTATACATTTTATTGGATATTATAAGTCACAAGGAGTGGATGTATCTGCGCCAGCCATTGAGAACGATTTTGAGCCGCATCACCAATTGTCTCCAGTCATTGGTTTTTACCATCCCGAGGACCCCAACCAGGAAGCCAATCTACACCTCCCTACGTGTCTGGCTGGCTTAAACTAACTGTTGTGGATTTCATTGACTCATGAAGCCATGTTTTCGTTTGACCACCACTAGCTCTTTTCCAACCTGACCCTATGTCAGCTAACATTGCCCATTGAGGAAGGCGATGTCTAGGCATGCGTAACACATGTCCTAACCATCTCAGTTGATGTAGCTTCACAGCCTCGTCGATTGATTTCCCCTCCTTACCTAGCACTCGACGCCTAACCTCAATATTGCTCACCCTGTTATACCATTTCACACGGGAGATAGAATGCAGGCACCTATGATCAAAGACAGCTAGTCAGGCTTTTCATGTCTTCTACTTTCAATGGCCAGGTCTCACTCACAGCCATAAAGGAGGACGGAGTGGACTGCTGAGTAGTACATACGCCCTTTGGTCGATAGCCGGATATCACGTCTACGCCAGAGACGGCGTAAACTGGCATATGTGAAATGAGCCTTCTGTATCCTTGCTGAGATTTCGTCAGCGATCAACCCACTGGGATTGGCTGATGCAACTTCCCAAATAAGTGAAGTGGTCAACGCGCTCTACCACTTCGCTGCCTATTTCTAAGCTAGGGGTCAATCTAGTCCAGTGCAGTCCTGTAGCATCATCCTACATTTGGCGGGAGTCAACTGCATGCCAAATATTCGCATATTGCAGCTCAAGATGTTCAGAAGACTGCATTATGCCAGCGTCATCACCTAGAAGGACCATATCATCTGCATATTCTAAGTTAACTTAGTAGTCGACAAATTGAATAGACTTCTCTTATTCTGGTATTTAACTCACAATTTGATGAATGGTATTTAGAAGCTTCGAATCACTGACTATTCCTACTTATCCTCTCAGGAATTTTATTACCTTTTGATAATGGAACATAAATAAGATCGATTACTTTTTCCCTTCCAATTTGTTTTCTTCTATACTTCATCAAACCTCTGTTATTAGTCATTGTCACGCAAGTCCTGTTTTTAGATAACCTTTATCATGTTGGAACAGGATATGATAAGCAGACATATTTCTAAATTTAAAGAAACTTTTTAAGATTTTCGTGGTTTCCTTCCAAATTAAAAGACATTTGGATAGTTGTAATCTGTCTTCAAAAATGAAAAAAACCTCTGGATAAGTTTCTGTTAACATCCCCAATATGGAGTTCGGAGTAGATTTTGTCACAAACTAGCGCCAACTCAGAAGATTATTAAAAAAATTAAAAGGTACTGAGCAGTTGTTTCGCTCTGGCTTGATACTCTTCAGCAGCACTCTCTGATAAAGTCACAGTAGAATGAATTTTAAATCATTGAGTTAAAAAGTAAGACACGTTTTCAAAACAGTCACTGAGCCGGAATTCGCTTACTGGAATGTAATATGCGTACTGCATAACTTGACTGTTCAACGTTCAATGTCTTGTAGAATCATATGTATATGCATTGTTGAGGCGTTAGTTATAAGTTAGGACGAAACAGCTGTTCAGTGCTTATGTGGTCTTCAACGTTTTTAAATCCAGTGTAGATATCGTCATGAACCAAAATCATGGAGTACTGGACAGTTGTTGCGCTCTAGTTTAAGACTCTTCAGAGGCGCACACTTACAATCCCACTAGGGATCAAATCTGGGACCTTCAGGTTACGAGGTCAGTTCGCTGACCATTCAGCCACTGGGATGGAATCCGGTGACCAGCCCATGAATTCTAAATTCTGTCATTTAGCGAATTTTAGCATCACCACCTGCCAATGTCATCGGCAAGTACTTGTCCTCTCATCTCCGACCTGGTGCATTCCACTGATGATGACTTCTGACTGGAATTCCAGGCAACTTCGTCCTGTAGTCAGTCAGTAGTTGTTAACTTGTAGGGATTTAATTAGTTTTCGATTCTGATCATGGATTGATATCGATTAGTAGCAGTGGACCATTGATTGATCCCCGGTTGGGTCATGGGTGCGTACTGGGACTAGACAGCTGTCCAACACCACCTTGATTCTCACTAGTTCTCTAACTGATATCCATTCGTAGACAAACTTGAAATCGATCAAATCCCTACAAACCGACACTTGAAAAATAATGGCCTAATGTCAAAAATGTTAACTTTTGACAATGATGCATAGTTCGAGTTTAATGAATCAATAAATAAAAGGGTTCATATGTGAAAGAATTTTAACACTTTGCTATTGACATTTGAAAAATTAACTATTGTGTGTGCGTGTGTGTGTGACTTTTGTTTTAACTGACCCGTGTCACCAACATCTCTCTCTAAAGCTCTTACTAACCTCATCACACAGTTTACCACTAGAGATGGAGTATAAATGCTGTTGTGTAATTGTTCATTTTTATTGTTGTTGTAATATATCACATATGTGTGTGTTATTTGTTGTATTCAATGTATTATTATTATTATTGTTGTAACATTAACCTCATTGTTGTCTCTAACATTTTTCCTCCTCTTTTCTCATCCGAAATCTAATCTCTTCCCTGCATCGAATTATACATATATACAATATACATATGCAATATTATATATATGTCTGTAAGTCTATGGGTATGAACGGTAGTTTTGTTTCAACACCACATCTTAATCCTCAATCCTCGTCATCATCATCTTCATCACCGTCTGTTGTTGTCACTCAGAGTCCAAACAATAAATCTACAGTTTCAGCAGCTAGTATAAGTACAAGTACAACGCCAATTACTAATGGAGGGCCTACTAGAAGTGTGACATTAGCTGATGCTATCGCTGGTCTTGAACTGCTGGATCATATGCGTAAGGAACGTAGCGCCCAACAACAACAGCAACAACAGTATCAAAAGAATAACAAATTTGCTTCATGTGTTATCACTGAAAATCCCTACGAATTCGGTCCTGATGAATATTCAACAGTGTCCACCTTAGAGTTGAGTCGTGTTAGTTCATCTTCTGAGACTGTTATCTCTGAATCGAATACAAAATCACAGCAGCAACAACAACAGCAGAAACTTCAACCTACTGATGAATCACAACGATTGCGAAAATTGAGTAGTAAAGACAATAACAACAACAATTTTGTTGTAAGAAATACAGAGTCGAATCAGTCAAATGTAACAACATCGAAGGTATATATCTATATATGTGTATGTATATATATGCGTGCATATGCCTCTAGTTGAAGCTTGCAAATATTAGTTATGTTTTCTTTTTCACACTGGCTGTGTTAAGCTGTCTTTTGCTTGCTTATGCTTACAAATAAATAAAAAAAAAATGGGTTTGCTTGTTACACACACTTATAAGTTGATTTATTTCACTGCTTTATTTCATTTGCTTGCCGATTTTTTTTCTGTAGTGGTTTAGTTTGGGTCATTATTTCTTTTTGTTGTTGTTGTTTTTGCTGTTGTTTTTTGCGTGTGTATTAACTCTGAGCCACTCTGAGCAAATGATGAGAGGCCACTGGGAAGACGAAACTCCAATTTCTACTATAGACTAAAACACAGTTGATTAAGATTGTCATTTAAGTGAAACAGTCGTCTTCTTCTAAAAGAGAGAGAAGGAGTCTGTAACTGGATTACAGGTTTGATTACGAGCTGACATCATTCAGGGTACCATTGGAAGACCAATAGGGAGCACTGGAGAGCTGTTTCGTCCTCCTAGTTTGGGACTCTTCAGTAGTACTTGACCATTGGGGTTCGAAACCAGGGCCTTCCGGTTACTGAGACAGGACTCAATGGCCAGCCCATGAATTCCAACTTCTGACAATCCTCTAACTGATGTCAGTTTGTGATCAAGCCTGTAACCGATCATATCCTTGCAAACCAACACTTGTTAGTTGGATAATGACCTTTACAAAGTAAACTGACCTTTTCTTGATAGCGTTTTTGGTGGGCTAAAATCTTGTCTATAAAATGAAACTTAGTAGATTTTCTTTACTGATTGTTTCTCAATATATATTGTAACTGAACTTTTAGTAAATAATCAATATATTTATTTTTATGATCCCATTGATGAATTACTGATATCTTTGTTACAGAAGGGAGCTATAACTTATTGATTTGTTTGATTCCATGACAAATACTAACTCATTATTTGTATTATGGCTAAAAGTGTGGATTTTTTCACTAGGTGACATCATTTAAAGACAGGAGGTCAATGATGGGCAATTGTTTCGGTCTAGTTTTGGACTGTTTAGCAGTGTTGCGCCTAGGGTGGAACAGAAACACATTGAAAATTCACTCCATTCTGTTTGAATTCAATAACTGTTGTATTTTATGGCGAACTAATCAGATTTCAAACCTCAACTGAATTGGGGGTTCTGGTTTCCATTTCCGATGAGCTTGCGTGCACACTGCCGAAGAGTCGCAGAATGCGACAGACTTTATATTTACTACACTCTGCATTTTGATGACTTCGGTTTTACGACTAAACCTGCACACTAAAATGATATATTAAATAAATTTTGAAATATGAACATGGTATTTGGGGAAGTGAGACCAGATTTCGTTTTTGTTCGCATATCCAGAGAGTGACAACTGACTTCCTAATTTACTTAGAAGTTTTATTCGCCTTAGAATCATATCAGGTGTAATGATTATAAAACTTTGAAACTCACTTTTCATAGTTCCCCGTCTTTCTTCCAATTTATCGTTAGGAAAATGTTTTTAATATCAGTGGGGCTACTCTACAAAGAGGGAACGTTGAATAAGATTCTTAACAAGTCACTTAGAAACAAATTATGTGGGTTAAAGGATTCTGCGAAGTGGTTACAAGGACAAATACACAGGTCGAAGTATTAGGTAGGGGTCAGTGAAGCTAGCGGAGGACGAAACTTAGCATAGTCTAGACTAGTAGACCCTAGTAAGCTTTGAAATTCAGTGAAGCGCTGGGCTATAGCACCTCCACATACAGTTACACACAACCATACAATAAGATGCAACAATGTGACAGTTATAAAGTCCGATGTTGTAACCGGGTAGATAGATCAACTGAGAATTCGTACAATAGGAATTATTCAGTACTTGTTCGTGATTTCTGAAAAATTCTACTTCCATTACGAGAAATCGGGGAAGAAGGATGAGAACTATAAGAGTCGAGTTTCAAAGTCGTGTAGCTGTAACTGATATGATTGTTAACAGTAATGTTTAGAGCGTCACCTAGTGCATAATACTATTTCATAGTGTAAGATATTCAATAAGCAAGTTAATATGTAATCACATACTTCCTCAGTGTCTCAATCCTACGCCTGTATTCGTTCACTTTCTCATGAATCAATAATTTTAGCATGTGAAACAGCTGATAGATATTTGCTTCCTTGTTTATTATGTCATATTCTACCTATTTGTACACTGATGCTGATCATCTTATAAGACTGTCAACTTTTAATCGTTGCTCGCCTGTGAGTCTATCATCACTTACAATTATTCCGTATGTATTTTGCAAGAAAAGATTCAGCAAGCAATACTTCTTCTACCTGTAGCCTTGGTAGATCTGTTTACACTTAAGACCAGTTTTACTTTCGATAAATTGTGCTTGTAACTGATCTGACTAATTCCGATATGGATATGGAATTTAAGTCAACATCGACTATTTGAAACTATTTGAATTGTTGAATGATTAAAAGCAGTTCGTAGGAAGCCCTGAACCAAGGTTTGGTGGTGATTTTCGGCGCCTGTCAGTAAGGCGTATCTACATTCTCGAAGGTACTTGTGTCTTTTTGAAAATTTGAATCTCCATCACCCAGTACTGCAGTCAGAGATGTTGTCAGTGAGCTATTTGGACTCATAATTGACCACCTCTGTGTAAGGTAACGGATACACTGATTGGTCGTCAGGGTGTAACCAATGTTATGTGTCTAGTCTTTGGTGTTGGTGCTCATTGAATTTTATCAGTCAAGTTTGTAATTTTGCCAAGCTCAGCGGTAGCTCAACATATTGGTGCACTTTGAATTAATGTTAAGTGAGTTGAATCCCCGTGGAGACTTCAGTCATTTTTAGACTAGAGATGCACTTTGCTATAAAGAGTTTCAATAAGCATTAAAACTCGGTGTAGGTCTTTCAGCTGACTGTTTCTAACTCTCCACCTAGTTTTATCACCACATTGAAAACTTAACTGATGAAATTCAGCACCGACAGGGCCTATTATTATTTATTATTCCCTTGGGTTCCAAGTGGAACATACGGCTTCAATAACACATCTCCACTTTGTTCTATTTTCTGTCATCCTCTTCAGTTGGGTCCACGATTGACCATAATCTTTCATCTCCTCCATGTCACTCTCGCACCGACGACCCACTCGTCGCTTTCCATTAGGATTCCACTGGCCTGCATCGCACGCGATGTCCTATGATGGTTTCCTCAGTTTTTGCTCAATCCCTCTCATTTCTCACACATTCGTCGGTTGATCGATCGGCTCTTGGTTGGTTGTTCCCAGTCAGAGTTTCTGGTTACTAATTCATACAATACAGAATGCTACGTTTGCACTAATGTAAACGATTCAAAACGCCTATGCTGTTACCCTATGCAAGACTTATAGTCAGTTGGTGATTTCATAAATTCTGATACATGAAGATATAAAGTATGACATCTAGAATTATTATGCAGTAATTCGATGTCCTATTTTAATCATGTCTATCTGTCTTTCTGAGTACATCGTATCAAATCTTCCACTATAGAATATGAACTAAATCAGAATGAGAAAATTCCAGGTGTATTATTAGTTCAGATTAAGAGATGGAGAAAGAATTACTTGTTTGATTCTGGCACTACCAATAAACTTCAGACTACGCGTTTCGTCCTATTTTGGGACTCGTCATCTGGATGCGTACCTGCTTCTTCTGGGACTCGAACCCAGTACCCATCTGTCCAGATATATGCTTATCAACGAGAATGGATGACTGACTGAGTCCCAACATAGAACTTTCCATAGAAGTTCAACAGTTCAACTTACCACACTCCATGTCCCACACAAAGCAACAAAAACAGGAGAAAAAGAAATTCGAAAAAACTACTATAAGCAGAAATGTGAGGAAGAAAGAATAGTAACATGGAAAAACATGAGGGTTTGGTGGATATGAGAGATCACAAATAGTGAATGCATCTTCTCCACTGAAGACAGTTTTCAGGCATATCACCAACTGTGTCCCCAGCCATCGGTTTTTACCATCCCTAGGCCCCCAACCAAACAGTCTGCTTCTCCATACATGACTGGCTCAAACTAATTGTCGAGCTTTTCATGGATTGATTCCACACTTTGGTCTGACCACAACTAGCTTATGTTTTCCAACCTGATCCTATATCAGCTAACAGTGACCATCAAGGAAGATGATGGCTAGTCATGCGTTAACACACATCCTAGTCATCTCAATCGATGTAGCTTCACAATCTCATCGATTGGCTTTCCCTCCTTACCTAACACTCGACTTCTAACTTCAATATTACTATTACTATACTACCTAACTTAGGAAATAGAGAACCAAACGAGAATGAATAGATTTATTTTCTCATAGGTGTCATCTTTTGATCTGTAAAACTCAAATCTTAATGAGTGATTGTCGTGTCAATTGCCAATCAATCATGTGACATATATAAAATAAATAAACAACAGGTTGTTTGTTGCATCTCTCTCTCTCTTCTTTCTCTTTGGGATTATTTTCATTCCCTGTTGTAACTCTGCCAGGATAAAAATATAAATATGATTGTATACAATAAACCAAAAAACAAACAAACAAAATAAAACTAGAAACTGATCGATTTTAGTGTCATGATAATTTTATCAATGATTTATCTGAAATTTGCCTTTCTTTTTCGATGATCAGTTATATCTAAGTAACAAATAAGAACCTTGTTTGTTTGTTCGTTCGTGTGTGTGTGTGTGTTTATTTCTCAATAGACGAGTTTGAAACATCAGTTTATCTTTTCTCACACAAATAACTAGGGTGTACTGGACAGTTGTTTTGCTCTTGTTTGGGACTCTTCATCAGTACGCACCCATGATCCCACGGCTAAGGGATAGAACCCACGGTCATCCGGTTAAAAGGTGAGCTCGTGTACCATTGGGTCACTGTGACGAAATCCAATGGCCTATCACAATCTTAAATTCTGCCAATTCGTGATTATAGCAAAAATAT